AACCAAAGCAGGGACAGGGATAGGAGTATTTAGGCCGAAAACCAAATACTCCGAAACAATGGGCACCGACCCCAGCATCATTCAGGCAGAAATCTACGCTATCGAAAGATGCGTACAATTTATCTTAGATAGGAACTATCGAAAACAGGAAATAGCCATCTTATCCGATAGTCAGGCATCACTAAACGCGATCATCTCAGTAACCATCAATTCGAAGTTAGTCAAAGAATGCCTAGAGAAGCTGTACAAATTAGGCAAAGAAAATAAAGTCCTGCCACTCTGAGGCCCGCTTACCAAAGGATAAAAGTCAATGAAAAAGTAAATGATCTAGTAGAAAAATAGCAAACACTCCCACTAATTGGATCAGAACCGTTCTGTTTTCCAAGCGAAAACCAACTAAAGACGGAACTGAGGAACCTAGAAGACTCCATCCGTAACCTGGAGTGATAGTCCTCCAACGGTCTAAGACACTCGCAAAAGTTCCTCAGAACTTACGACCGAATAACCGATTGAAAAATCAAAGATTTTCCTTGATTTAAGTAAAAACAATCTTGAGATTGTTCACGGGGTTTCTAAAGAACACTGTCTCCTCAACGAACACTTCAGTAGGTTCAAGCTGAGGAACAACGGCGAATGCAGATTCTGTGGGGAAAATGGGAAAACACCAGAACCCCTTATCACTGAGTGCGCCGAGACGACGACCGTTCCTGTCATGAATTTTTGTACAGCTAATGTCGAGATCAACCGAGTTTTGGTCTCGGTCTCAGTCATTCTGTAGATTGTGTTGGTTTCTATTAGTGATGTGTCGGTATTTGAGTAACGCGATTTCGGAGCGGTATTTTTTTGTAACGCCGTGTCGCGCTCCATAACGAATGGGGAACCTGTTACTGAAGAACAACGATCATAATGACGACAAAATTATAAATTATTTATAATTTGCAAATAAATTATTTATAATCGTAAAGAAAAAAAAAGGGAAAAACGAGTGTTGTAAGTGTGTTTGATTTAATAGTTTAATTCAATTACAATAATTCAGATTTAGCATTATTATTCAAATTATAATTTGTAATAGCTTAGGTATGGTTAAGTTCAAAAAAATACAAGGTGATTTTTAAACACTCGGGTAACGGGACTTACGGTCAAGGTAATACCACTAAATTTTTATTGCAGCCCTAAAAAAAATTGTTTATACCTTTATAAAATATTTTGATGTAAACAGCGCATCCTTGCCGGTTTGTATTGCAATTTTTATATATCTTCAATCAAAGTAATCAAAGTAATTTAAAAATTTTTCATCATACATTCTTAACACCGAATAAAGTTTTTGGAACTGGCTTTCATTTTTATGTTCTATTATTGGATGAACCCAATAAATTCTTTTTCTGCGGTTTTGCCTTCTTTTGCGAAGCAAAAGCCACAACAGTGCTTCTTCTTCAAAATTAATTTTTGACTGAATCAAAAATTTAGTTGTGGTTCGGGTGTCGTCCATCAACTCACACGGGCGACTTCTCGACGACATATTTGTCGCGCAGTTGTGGTTGTAACGTCGTCGATAGCTGTGACTGCTTAAACACCGTTTTGTCGTTGGAAAGTGGTCCGTGTGAGCGTAGCCCTACTTCGTTCCAGCAGTCGCTGGAGCGCATCTAGGGTTTCGTTTTCGCCTATAGCGATTGGGTCGGTTACTATTGGCGTTAGTGCTCCCGTCGCCGTCGCTACGTTACTTTTCAAATAGCGGTTTGGTTTGGTTTGGTTTTGTTTGGTTTGGTTTTGTTTGGTTTGGTTTGGTTTGGTTTTGTTTGGTTTGGTTTTGTTTGGTTTGGTTTGGTTTGGGTATAAAATAGCATTGGTATAAAATAGCATTGTTTCAAAGATGAAACGTAAAAGCAAACAAAATAAAATGAAAATTTTATTTGCTTTTATACATTTATATAAGTTTTATTGTTTATATCTATTTTTAAGGTCTGATGATGGCTGGAATTGCCGAAACCGGTCACCAATAAAGAATTTTTTTGACAGCGGTTTGTGGGACTAGGTAAGTAGTATAAAATAAAAGTAGGTACCAATGCCAGAAATGCTACATAAGCGAGGACCGCGACACGAAGTTGGAACCTCGATTACAAAATCGCGGTATTTTTCTGGAACGGTCGCTATTGTAACACGACTCATGTGGAACCGGTATTCCCATCACTAGTTTCTATTTCTTCGTCTTGCTAGGTCAGCATACATACATAATGTGGTATATATTGATACTTTTTTTGAACTCATTTTCTATGATCTTTAAGTATATTTGTGAATTGTAATCGATGACTTGTAAATTTGTAGGTATATCTAATTACTCATAATTATAAGCAAAATGTAATCACTGCAGCAAATTTTTATATCTAGTACATTTTTTCGCTATGTATAATTAATAATTGATCCGCCATTTTGAGGGTCTGGTATATTGGATTAAAATCCAAACATGTATATTTAGTTAGTTTATAATTCAAAGGTTTGTTTCTCACATGCAAGTTAGATAAAAGCTTGCAATACAGAAAATGTCATAATTATGCATACTCTATATTTTGGCTTAAAAATGTTAAAGTACTATTTAAACACATTATTTGCTTATTTCAACGTAGTTACATGGCCAAGAAAAAAGGTCTAGGTAAAAAGAAAAGGACCAAACATAAAGTATACAGACTAGATCAAAGGGAAACTTAAATCTAGTCCTTTTTATGAAGGGTCGATTCTAGTAAAAATTCAAAACATTTTTATATAATATATTCTATTTATGATTGGTATGACACCTGTTATTATACTTTCGAGTTTCGATGGTAAAAAATAAAGTTTCTTTTTGATCTGCCCTGTATAATCTTTTTTTTCTTCCTCTACAATGTGTGAAAACTATACTAATTACCCTACTGTAATTACCATTAATATTTTAAATGCATTATTTAATATTAAGACATTAAATAAGCTCATGAATAGGAACTTCGCTTTTTAGTTAACTCGGATATTTTAACATTTCTGAAAACAATATTTTCTAATTGATAAAACGTAAAAAGTTGTTAGACGTGACAACCCTGTTGAAACTGGTCGTTCATCTGGACGCACCTATGTACGCAATATATTCTACCACCCAACGGCCAGGTCGCTACACCTGGCCGTCATGTCAGTGCGTTTGAGCTCTAAAACTATGCATTTCCATACATGTTTATAGAAACTTTTTTTCATATTTTTTGATAAAAAATCAATGAGTACTTGTACTTAAAATTAAACTTTCGAGAAATCAATGGACTTAATATTAAACTTTTGCAACCTTTAAAAAACTTTTAATAATATTAAGATTTTTTAAAGGTTGCTATTACTTGGATCAAGGCAAATTAATAAAATTGCGTTTATCTCATCAAGGAGGCAGAAATCGACAAAATATTAAGAAAAAACTTTTAATCGGCATTAAACTGCTTACATTATTTCGCTAACGAGAGAAAAAAATTCAGGGGCGTTTATGTATTTTTTAGAAAAATATTCCAATAGTAACCCATATACACGTCACTGGTGAATATGTCGACATTTTTTTCGCTGTAAAATATGTTTCGCATTTATAGTAACTTTTACTCTCAAAATTTCACTCGAGACGCTAAAATTGAAACATGCTTTTTGAAACACCATGTATATGCATATAAAATTGGCTTGAATAACTTTGGTATTATACAGGGTGTCCCAGAAATAAGTGCAAGTATTTTAACTGGTAGCATATTTCGGCCTCAGTTACAAGCCTATGGGGTAATTTTTGCGAAAAAAAATTTTGAAAATATGAATATGAAAAAATTTTAGAATTTTTTTTAGTTTTAAGTTAAAAAACATAATTTCTTGATAATATGGCAACATAGGTAGTAGCTTAAATATACATGAAAGAAAATCCAGAAAAGATCCAGTAGTGGTTCTCAAGATTTTAGCAAAACTACTTTTTTTGGAAATATTCAAAGTAAAATAACTCGGATATTTTGGACTTATTTGAAAAACGCTAAAGAGAAAAAATGTTTCTTTTGACCAGATCTACCACCCCTTGAAATACTTGCACTTATTTCTGGGACACCCTGTATAAAAAGAAAATATTAGCAGTTTAAGCAAAAAAATATTTGAATAGGAAATTATTATGTATATTAACAAAAAAAATCAAGAATTTATCATTATGTATAAATATTATTTCAATACTATATCTAATATTTGGTCATTTTTTATTTTTTTTGTTTATTTTAAATTTCTACACGTTGGTTTCCTTCGTGAAAATTTAGAACCCATTTAGGAAGTCGTGGAAATATTACATTTCCTGTTAATTTCGATCAGCGTACCTACTAATAGAAAGTTGTTATGTTTGATAATTTGTTTATATCTGACACAGAAAATAATTTTTAACTTAAAAGTAAGTAACAAAATCAGCTGTCAGTGCTATAAATACTTTTAATGCATTACCACTCAATATAAAATCTTTGTCATGTAAAAAAGCTCTAAAGAAAAAAATATTAAGTTGGTTGAAACAAGGATAATTTCAAAAATACTCAATAGATTAAGATATAATGTAGTATGTTGTATTATAAGATTAGTAATAAGTAAATTTTCTCTTTTATGTTAATTAAGTTTTAATTATTATATTTAGTTTTTGTTGTATCCAGTCCGCTTACAGAGACTGTCTCTCTGCGGTTTTGCAAGACTATGTAATAATATGTATTGTAAAATTTACTGGTAATAAATAAATAAATAATAAAACAACTAAAAATTTTCATATTTAACAACATAATTACTAAACTATTTTTTAATATAATCCTTTGACGAGTAAAAATGTAAATTCACGACTAAATTATATGAAAGATATAGAAGCGAAAATTTTAATTATTCTAAAAGAATGTTAAACGCGCGATAAAATGTAGAGGACAGCATTTTATTTTAACCTTAAATTTTTACTTATAAAATATACACTACATAAAATATTCTGTGTTATACCGCGTTACACTCACCATATTCACTTCCGAAATTGCATCAAAGCTAGCTATAGTTAAATCCATTCCCACTAGCAAAGGATCCCCTAAAATAGAAAAGCAAATCAATCGAAATTCATTCTGCTTGAAACTTGTTTAACGAACTTTGAATTTCCATTATCTAAGACATTTCCCATCCAACAAAAATAAGACCTTTATTTTCAATTTCAATTAGATTAAGATGTACCAGTGGATAAATTAACATTTCTTTTGGTATTCTTTAAAATCAGTTAAAATAATTTAATTTGCATTGGAATTGTCGGTCAGAGAAAAACTTAATAATATTAAAAGAATTGAGTAATTAATATAAAAATAGCACTATACTAAAGTATATGTTTAATATAGAAAATGTTAAATGTGAAAAAACAATCTTATTCATAAAGTAAGATAGTAGGTTTATAAACAATTTCTATACATAGATATTGTAAACAAATACTAATCTTTTAAATATAAGGGTGAATAAATTAATCTATTTATAATTTATTCAGATTTTGAAAACCAGTTATTATTAGGATTTTGCAAGTCCGAATCGCCATTTTAAAATACGAGTAGAAGCGAAAAAAAATGTCACATTTTTTAATTTTAAAAAAGTTAAAACTGTTATGACAGAAGCAAGATTTGCTATACAATATGTCCCTGGATTGTCTTAACAAGAGAATATTTTTTTTATTATTCACATTTTTATAAAAATTTTGGCTTGTTTTAAAATGGTTAATCGCATTTATACTTTTCCAAATTTCCATACCATTTTCGAGAAAATTAAGAAAAACATGAAAGTATGGTTGAATTATGAAGTCCTAAAAATTAAAACGCGTTTCTATGGTAATATACTTTGTTTCCATTTTTTGGTAGATTGTTATTTACGTTAACGTAATGTTTTTGTTGTTTTGAAATGTTAAAGAAGCACAAAATTTATTTAGTTCAATGCTACGGAAAGGGTTATGATAGTTATAGGAAAATATAATACTTTAACAACAGCAAAAAATATGACATTATCCAAAATTAAAAATAACCATCAAAGAATGAAATCGAATTAATCTTACTATAGAAATACCTTTTGATTTTTAGGACTTGATTTCAACCATATTTTTATGTTTTTTTTTAATTTTCTCTAAAACGTTATAAAAATTTTGAACAATATAAACAGGATTAACCATTTTAGAACAGCAAAATTTTTTGAAGAATGCATTTTTCTTAAAATATAAATAACAAAAAAGTGTAAAGACAATCCGAGGACATACTGTAGATAAGCTAAGTGTTTTTTTTTCTCTATAAACAGCCATATTAAATAATTTCCTGATATGCTAGATATTTTATAGAAGACAATAAATAACAATAAAAAATATTACTTTATGTACCTCCAAAATCTGGTCTAAGTCTAATATCATAACCTTCCAGAAGTTTTGCAATAATATGTGTAACATTATTTAGTCTTTCAGATGGCATATTCACTTGAGCTCTAAAAATTAAATTCTAAATTTAAATTTAAAATTTAAAATCACTAATGCAAGAATTATTAATACTTATGATATTAATTATGTTACTTACTCAACATATATGTTTGACAGTAAAACTGAAATCACTATAAAATTCGTTTTCCTGAATTCCATTTTTGAATACTTGTACGTCATACACTCGCAGATTATGCCTAACGTTTTTTTATGGAAACAAATTTAAATTTATATTTTTGAAATAATAAGCACTTAAGTTTTAAAGATAGAGGCGATGAAGAATTAAAATTAAAATATATATCTCAGTTTAGTTAAAAGTACTACTGTTGATGTATCTGGAATTTTTATTGCGATTTTGAATGAGCGAAACTGTTGTCGCTTATTCTTTCAGTTTCATTCTGGCAACTGCAAAGGGAGTAAGGGCGCTTGCGTCTAAACTAAATTTCAAGCGAGCCGGATAACGTTTTGATCTTGTTATAAAAGCATACACGGCGAACAACTTAATTTTACATTTTCAATTCGCTTTTTATTTAAAATCTTCGGTATTAATAGAAAGATGCTGTTGTGTACTTTAAGGCGCACTGTTTTATTACTGCAAAAGATCATTACAGAAAAATATGCATGTGTTATTTTTTTTAAATATAACCTTACCGCGTTAGTACAGCATAGATTAAAGAATAGTCATAACCTTTATTTTCACAGCAAGGCCATTTAACAAACGGAATAAAATTATAAATAATGGTTAATTGCAGAGATAATCGAACCCTACACCCCTAAACGTTATAGCTTTTGCAGAGGATGCGACTGCAATGAAAAAATTTCGTAATAGCGATTAAGTCGTTTAATGTATTGTCGGCACAATTTATCATTGCAGGCAGTGCAATATGTTTAGGCACAGATTATTTCCTACCAGCTGATCGTCCTTCTTTGTTATGGGTTATTCTCGTTTTATATTGATCGCCAGTCCCAATGTTTTTTTTTAAACGCAGTGTCAATAGTGCTCAGAAGCCAGCTTGTTACATAAGATAGGTAATAAAGCTAGGTAAGCAAATTTTAATGCAAATGATCGTAAGTTGACAGGTTGGCCATGAATAACCAATATACAGGGTGTCCCAGGCTGAGCGTGCATTAGAAGTTTCTATATAACTACAATATCAAGATCGGAGATTTTTTGTACATCATTGTTTTACAACGAGATCTATCGATTAAAAATATTTTCAATATGGCGGCACTTCCAGAAATACCGGAAGTTGACAGCAACTTTCTTATTTTAAACGGGTGCCCCCATTTTTTATTACACACTTAATTTCTCTGTAAAATTTTATGAATATTGATAATACACACTCTATACCTAATATCCACGCCATCGTTTTTGGAGAAAAAAAATATTTAAAATTTTTGGACGAAAAAAACTGCCTGTCAAAAATATGTGTATAGCCTAAACGTTAAATTTAGTGATTACCACAGCCACTGTGCCATAAAGAGAAGACATGTGGCTATTTATTTTAAAAATTAAATTTTCCGAATGTCATATAATAATGACCGCAGCTGTCATGGAATTGAGCGGTTAAAAAATTACGATAAATCATTTTTTTCAAATGGAAACCCACTTTTTTTTTATTTCACTAGTTAAATGGCTTTTCCATTCGTTACTTTTTGACTATACATGTTCCTATACCTAAAATAAATTGTTTTTAAGTTATTTAAGATTTAGTTTTAAAGCATATATTTTTCATGAATTTAACCAGTAGCCTATGGCTTTAAACGTCAAGTGATGTAAAACAATATATCTGGCTATGTCATATTGTGACACTTTGTTCAAATTTTTTTTATTTTACCCTGTATAGCATGTAGTAATATTTAATTATAATAAGCATTGTATGTTAAAACAATTTAAAATTTGACTCGAAAAAGTATACAGGGTGAGACAAAATTAATATGGAATATTGGTCACTTTAAAAGCAAGTTACTCCTTTATTTTAAATAGAACACCCAGTATATTATTCCGGTGTTCAATGGGGAATTTATATATCTTCAAAATATTATCAAGGTTGCCTACCCCTCAGACTAAGATTTAAAAAACGGCGTCCAGTTGGCTTGGAAATGACGGTCGATGACATATACTCCATATAATTTTACAGATAAAATGACAGCGATCTGCATTTCATAGCCATCGCTAACGCCATTTCTTTTCCATCATATTGTATTTTCCCAGTTAGCGGAGTACTCAACATTTAAATATTTAGATGTTTGGTAAATATAAAAATTGTAGTACATAGTCGCATAGTATTCTGTATCATATAAGCTTTTAATATTCATTTTCAATAGCGAAAGAATAAAGAAGTTGAAAAAAAGTAAAAATCAGTAGTCAGACATAAGTAGTTTAGACATATTCTTGCCACAAGGGTAGAGACATCATTTTTGCTATATTATATAAATTTAAGGCAATAACCGAATAACAATTACATTAATAATAATAGTAATACCAAAAACAATTTATATGCGAAACAACATAAAATTGGTGTTAATTCAAAATATCATATACACCACCTCGCTATGTCCCTGTTGATATTGCTTGATTCACCCAATATTGTTTGAAATAAACGCATGTGCTCTGTACGTCATCGGTGAAACCAGTTTGAAAGTTTCAAATGGCGCAACTCAAGAATTTTCTTGAATTTTAGCCACTCTACGCTTATCCGAAGAGATTTCCGTTTAACATTTAACGGCGTGATAAGTTTTTACCAGCCATGAATGCTATTACCGAAGTAAAAGTTTTCTTTCTCATTTTATTTATGTAAGTAATACTTTTATTATTTTATCATGGCGTATATTTACATTTTAAAACTTAATGCAACATTATTTAATACGTCTAGAACTTATGTTTTTATTAAGCTTCTTGTTTAAATTTAATGCATGTCAAATTAAAAAATTCTAATTCTATGTCACATATACGGTATGATTGAAAAAAACATCATCCAGTTGGTTTGAAAATAAACATCCCTGACCTTCCCACATAATTTTACATATAAAATGACAGCGACCTTCATTTCATAGCCATCGCTGACACCGTTTTTTTTATCATATTGTATTCTAGTAAACTGATACAATCTTTAAATTAAATTAATATAACATAGTTTTATAGATGATGTTTTAATTATTGGAATTAGTGTTTTTTTTCTAAAAAAATTATTATGCTTTATAAAATTAATACAAAAAAGCATAGATATAAAATTGTATTGTAAACTAATATGCAAATCAACAACTACTCCATTTGCAATACTGTAAAATTTTTTATCTACTGAGTAACTATCAAATAGATATATTTGATTTTATATAATATTATTGTGGCATAAAACTTAAAATAATATCGTCAATATTAGTAATAGCATTAGAACTGCATATTAAATCACAATATTATCGACTTTTTTAAATGTGGCTTATACTTGGAGGGGCCCTTTGGCGAACTTAATATTCGAAAAAAAGATAGTTAAAAATATCTGAAGTATGTTATAATATATAGAGAGTTTTTTTTAGAATAATTAAACTTCAATATGAAAATTATTAGTATAGTAGAAATATCTGTTTGAATAATAAATAAATCATTCTACCTAAAAATTTGAATCAACCCACCAAATTTAAATTATATAGTGTAAAACGTTTTTTTTAAGATATAATATTGGTATTTTAATGTCAGTAAACTGCCATACCGTCAGTGAAACGCGATAAGCTGCTAACTCCATTTTTGATTCTGAGTAAATAATACTTTTAATAAATCATTTTTACGTAAAATTTTTAACAAAATTTTAATTAATTTTTATTGTTACCCAACAAATATTATTCTTATCTCTTTATCATATTAACGCATGAATATACTTGCTACATGAGTACAGGGTGTCCCACTAAGAATAGCTCTCGGCTGTATCTCGGAAAGTATTAGCCGTAGGGGCTGCGGAAAAAAATACTTATAACTAAAGAGGCTATGAAAAATTGCGGGAAATTATTTTCAAGTTTGTAGAACGACCGCTAGGATCGCAACTGCAACAAAAAAAATATGAAAATGGAGTTTTTACACAATTTTGCCTAGATAAGGTGTACTATAAGTAATAGCTTCACAACCTTCAGTAAATTTTGAATATTTTTTGTTAGAGCAATTTTCCCCTATCTATCAAAATAAAGTGGTGGGGGAAGGTTAGATCTGTTTTTATTTAAATATTAATAACTCTGGACTGGATGATCGGAATCCAACAAGCGAGGGCTCGTTTAAAAGAGCGTTTCTTACTCTATATTGTATCATAAAAACAATAATAATAAGCTTTTGAAAGTAGACGCTAGGGGGCGTTGTCTTACAACTTAACAAACATTGCGCGTTTTTTCAAAAAAATTAAATGCAATAGTATATGTAGTTCTAGCTGATAGTAAAGAGTAGCGAAAGCTTAAAAAGTCAACAAAAACCGCATTTTGATATCTTCTTTCAAACCGAAGATATTAGCAAAATTATAATAAATGCCAAAAAAATAAGCCCTTAATTACCTTATTTTTACAACACGGTATCAGTAGTCCTTTTAATTATGCCCATTCTAACAAAAAAAATAAGTTAAAAACAGTTAGTTTATTTTAAAATCGACGAAATATTAGAATACCATAATACCAGAGGTATTAATATCTAATAGTTAAGATATTAATAACAGTGAACAAGAAACGATGATGAAGCCAGTCAACCAGTGAAGTCATGGTAGGCTTTGGAAAAAAGTTGCTTTTGACGTAATAGTATAAACGTCAAATTTTTATTAGATCAACATTTTGATAGTCTTATCAGCGTTTTTTATCAAAATGCCTTTATTATTTGAAATAGTTGAAGTTGTTGGCATTTTGAAAAAGAAATAGAAAGATAAAAAACGCTGATAAAACTATCAATATGTTGGTCTAATAACAATTTGACGTTTATACTATTACGTCAAAAGCAACTTTTTTCCAAAACCTACCATGACTTCACTGAATCATCGATTCTTGTTCACTGTTATTAATATCTTAACTATTAGATATTAATACCTCTGGTATTATGGTATTCTGGTATTTCGTCGATTTTAAAATAAACTAACTGTTTCTATCTTATTTTTTTTTTTGTTGGAATGGGCATAATTAAGAGGACTACTGATACCGTGTTGTAAAAATAACGTAATTAAGGGCTTATTTTTTGGTATTTATTATATTTTTGCTAATATCTTCGGTTTGAAACAAGATATCAAAATGCGGTTTTCGCTGACTTTTTAAGCTTTTACTACTTCATCAGCTAAAGTCACATATACTATTGCATTTAATTTTTTTGAAAAAACGCGCAATGTTTGTTAAATTGTAAGACAACGCCCCCTAGCATCTACGTTCAAAAGCTTATTATTATTGTTTATATGGTACAATATAGGGTAAGCAACGCTCTTTTAAAGGAGCCCTCGCTTTTTGGATTCCGATCATCCAGTCCAGAGTTATTAATATTTAAATAAAAACGGATCTACCCCCACCACTTTATTTTGCTTGATAGGGGAAAATGGCTCTAACAAAAAATATTCAAAATTTACTGAAGATTGTGAAGCTATTACTTATAGTACACCTTATCTAGGCAAAATTGTGTAAAAACTCCATTGAAAATAATTTCCAGCGATTTCCCATAGCCTCTTTAGTTATAAATATTTTTTTCCGCAGCCCCTACGGTTAATACTTTCCGAGATACAGCCGCGGGCTATTCTTAGTGGGACACCCGGTACATATCCTCCCTTGTGCCGTTTCTTTTCTCTCCGCTAAAATTTGGAATTATGGAGTTAGCAGTTTGTCACATTTCACCGACGATACACATAAAAAATGTCTTGAGGATAAACAGAATGATGTTCAATTAGCTACTCCGCATGCAAAAAAATAAATAATAATCTCCCCACGCGAGATGGCACATGTTTTTGAAACACCCCGTATAAGTATTCATGCCTTGAACTGCTAATATAGAAATTAATTCCACACTGTGTATGAGGAACACAACAAAATATGTTCGTACAAGGTTGGTTTAATATTATTCCGTTGTTGAGAAACATATGAAATAAAGTATAAGGCAAATATTATCAAACAAACTTATAATGTAATAATTCAATTATAAAAGGAGGATATAACATGCATATCTTGCATCAATATGAAATAAAATATAAAGCTTTGTTTCATATCAATAATAAAAGCCATTTCTAAGATACGCAAAAGTTTTGATATTAGATTAAAAAATGTTTTATTTTCTACTGAGCCTTTGTATTTATAAATAGCAATTAAATTTTGAGATAGATGGATGTTAAATGAAGTTTATAAGAATTAGAATTTCCCCTTAGCCGTAACCTACAAAATATTTTCTGTGTATAATATAGTACGAAAAATTATGAAACTTTGTAAATTTGTTGTATATTTTTTTATATAAAAATGTACAGGGTGTCCCATTTTAGTTGAAATCATACGGTATCTCCGTTATTAGTAAAGATGGGAGGATGCGGTTTCCACAAACCTGTCCCACTTTTTTGTAAAACGGAAGATGCTGTCAACAAAATTCTCATACCCCTCTTAGTTTGTGAGCTACAGGGTCTTTTCAAAAAATTTGCAATTTGGGACAGCCCCCGTATCTCCGTTATTATGGATGATATCGAGAAGATGAAAACTGATTCTGGTAGAACTTTTTACGTAGAATACAGTGACGTAGTCTGTTTTTCTACGAAAAAAATATTTTTGAAGATATGAACTAAAGTTATGTTTTTTCAAATATAACACCCTGTATATTTATAAATAATATGATCCGCCTTGCAATGAGCTTCTCAAAAATATATATCACTCTATATTTATTTTCACTATTTACCGCAATATTTAAAATACATGATTTTCTTATTAGTAGGCCTTGATAAATAACAAAAAATTCAAATGGTATTTACTAAAAAAATCATAAAAATATTAAAATTTTATTTGAAATTGATATAATTTACTTTTGAACTGTTACCTCTGAATCTCTGAATATATTTTTCTTTTTTATAACGGAATTTATTATAACGGGATGGGTTTGCAAATATCTAAAAAATTGCATTATTAATGTATTTTCCAGGTGTTCTAAATTGTGTTAGTTGCCACGATATATTTCATATTTCCAAAATCCCCAAAATCAGAAATCAAGAACGGACAAATCCGGGAATAAGGGAGGCCATCATATGGATTCATTCGTTCCAATTCATTGATTTGAGAAATAATAATTTAACAAAATTTTAATATTTTCGTTGTAAGTTAAGTTGTGAGAGGGAGCCCCATCTTGCTGAAAGTATATTTCACGTAAATTAGCTAAAGGAATATTTAAAAGTCCCGATACGATAGCTTCCAAGATTTACAAACAGCGGTAGAGAGTTAAGTTTTCCTAATATATAAATAATTTATTAGTGGCTCTCAAAATAAAACGAGACAGATAGCAGTATACTTTTAATAATTCTTTAGTTTCTTTTATTATCAATCATGGCCTACCAATAAATTTGATCGTTTATTTTTTTTTAAATATTGCACTAAATAGTGAAAATAAATAGAGAATGATATATATTTCTGAGAAGCTTATGGCAAGCCAGATCGTATAATTTATTAATATACAGGGTGTTCCATTTAAGAAAACATAACTTTAGTTTATATCTTTAAAAATATTTTTTTCGTTGAATAACAGACTACGCCACTGTATTCTACGTAAAAATGTCTACAATAAACAGTTTTCACCTTCTTGATACCTTTAATTGTTAAAGTTACACT